TTAGAAGTCAAAAAAGTGGATAAGAGACTAAAACCTCAACTTGGGGATCGCACTGAAGACGCTTATCAATCTCCTCCGAAGAAACAGGCGAGGAATCGGGATACGTCATGGGAAGGGGAAGAGGCTAATTTTTCAACTATATTGTTAGTAAATAATTTATTCCAAAGTTAATCATTTTTTCTTTATATTAATTATCAGTAAAATTTAATTATTTTTAATTTAACAGTTGGATCGATGAAATTCAACTTACACCATAAGTTATTCAGTGATTTACTAGTCTTTTTTAGATAACAATTTATTAATATATATATATATATATAGATATTTAAAATTTTATTGATCTTTTTTAATATATGATTGTAAATTTTAATCATATTTATTGTTATCGAATGAAATATTAAATATTTCCGATGAATGCAATTTCTGATAGAATATTAAACATTTTTTATAGATAAAATTTTTGACAAACCATTATTTGTTAGTAAAATTTTGACTTAAGCATCTATAAAAAAATTTCATAAGAAATTCTTATATTTTTGACAAATATAAATTCATCGAAAATATTACATCAGTAATATAACTTTTTCTACGAATTTTTTTCCATAAAAAATATAATTTTTTTGATAGATTTGTATCTGTCGGGAATTAACGACGGATATATCTATCGAAAATATAAATTTTTTGATAAATTTGTATCCGTTAAAAATTATTTGTCAGAAGTATAAATTTTTCGACAAATTTGTATTTGTCGGAAATTTTCGACGAATATATCTGTCAGAAATATAAATTTTTTGATAGATTTGTATTCTTCGGTAAAATCTGTCATAAATATAAATTTTTTAATAGATTTGTATCCGTCAGAAATTATTAGTCGGTAATATAATTTTTCTTACAAATTTTTTTCATCAAAAATATAAATTTTTCGACAAATTTGTATCCGTCAAAAATTATCCATCAGTAATTTGAATTTTTCTTGTAGTGTTATAATTTATTTTCATAAACTAATTGAAGTAGTTTGTAATTTATAATTTTTAAATTTTTTATTGTTTTTTCTTTTTCTTTTTTACCTTCATTATTTAAAAAAAAATATTTTTTTAGAAATATTTTTTCTAAGATGTCATTTCTTCACTCTCATTATAAATTTTTTTGTGTTATTTTATATTTATTAACTAATTTTACTAAATAATTTCAATTCAATCAATTCGTTTATAAAGTTTTACTTTTAATTTCACCTCCTAACTTATAGTTTATAAATTTTTGGTCAAGTTATAAATTAGTTTTATCAAAGGCACCTTTTATATAGTATTATTTAATTAAAATTTATCATATATATAATAAAATTGATTTTCTTAATTATTTTAAGAGTCATAGTCAAGAAATTTTTAACTAATTGATATTGAAAAATTTTGTACACCATACTTTACAAAAATTAAACTCTTATTACAAAATTTAACAATCTCATACCATGGCAAATACTAATAGTTACGATGCATTCTAATTAAATTCAAATTCCAAACCTTACAAGCAAAACACGTCTCTATACCATGCAAGATGGAGTATGTAATAGTACAATAATTAGTAAATTTCATTTCAATTTCAAAGACTAATTAATAGCTTAATAAGTTAATAAAATTCTGTTTAAATGAAAGATGTAAACGCCATGAATAAATCCAATTAATGATAATTTGTTGACAAAATTTAATAAGTCAAATAAGTTAAAATATCCATAATTAGTCTTCACTTTTCTTCCTACTCCACACAATTCATTGGCTAGTGGCTATATTCCAAACAAAAAGCTTGTTATATACAACACGACTTCTGCAATTTAAAATACTATCCAGTTAATATTCCACAAAGGATATATAACTGCATATATCCTTGCCCGTGAATGATATCAATACCACTTGCATTTATCAAAAAAATTTAAAAGTGGCTCTGATTAAGGGTTCAGTTTGCATCTTTTAATTCAAGAGAAAGGGGTGCCATGCAAATCTTGGTGCAAGGTCCATAATAGTATAATAATCCATGCTTTTTAAAAGAAGTAGTTGTGTTTGGTGGCTTGGAACTTTGCATTTGCATACTTGCATGTTGTTTAAGAACGTGACCAGGTCAAAAACTGAGATATTGAAGCCACCATGTCACGCTTTGCCAGTCAACTTCGTACTTCCAGAATGAAATTTTAGACTTTTAGGTGCCTCCCCCTGACGCGGAAATTTGACTGGCTTTTCTATTACGGGAATGTTACTGGAACGAGGGAGAGAAAGTAGAGTTGTACAAGCTTTAACAATCAATAATTTAAGATATATTAAAATATGAGTTTGGATCTAATTGAATTATATAAAATTAATTTGTAAGATGGAAATTATTTTTCGCTAATAAATTTTTTTATGTCTTATTTTTAATTGATGTAAGATTTAAATTTTTCTCGGTCCGTTCTTTCAACTTAATATTATTAGATTTGATGCATAAATAAAATGGTACGTAAACCTTTTTTAATGATTTAAGATAACGAAATTTTGATTTTTTTTCAATACACTCTCACGCTAAACACTATTGAACTTGGTGCATATATAAATTGTGACCAATTCTTTTTAACATATTTAGGATAGTGCTAATATCATCTTAGAATATAGGTTTTGATATAACATAACTTACAAAATCAACTTATAACGTAACGGTTGTCATTTACTTGTATATTGTCTTATATGTAGTCGATGTAAAACTAGAATTCTTCCCAAAAATCCTTTCACACCAAGTAATATTGAGCCTGTTGTGTGAATAAATGATGATTAACAATTTTTAATGATTTAAGATATGTGAAACTTTAGATTTTTCTAACATACTCCTTCACATCCAATACTATTAGACTTGGTGCATATATAAATGATGGGTGGCCCTTTTAGATATGTAGGATAGTATTAATGTCTTAGAATGTAGGTTTGAAACTAAATCAAACTTGCAAAATCAATTTGTAAGGTAAAGATTATTCGAGTTACTTACTTATAAAGTTCTTGTTTGCCTTATTTCAAAGAGATGTGAGACCTGAATTTTTCCCCTAATTTAGAATGTGAGTTTGAGCTTAACTTAGTCTATAAAATTGACTTATAAGATGAGGATTGTCTTCACTTATTAGCTCATTGTTTATCATATTTTTAGTCGATGTGAAATTTAAATTTTTCTCAAACACTCCTATGTCCAACATTATTAAATTTGGTGTATAGATAAATGTTAAATGACTCATTTTTTAATGATATAGAATAAATGATACTTGAGTTTCCTCATATAAAAATTGATAAAAGCAAAAAAAAAAAATATAAGTAATTATGTGTGTGTGTAAAATCAATGTGAATAGGAATTAATGCAACCAAGCGAGTTTTCTGCTCATGTTATAATTTAAGTTTGATTATCAAATTTCTCTCCTTGGTAGGAAATATGTAAATTTCCTGACCTTGCAAGGATATATGTCTTTTCCTAATTTGACTTTTATTGTATAAAAAAAATGATTGAAAATAAAATAAAATAAATAACTCACAAAATATAACTAGCTTTTAAATTTTCTCCATGTGTAAATAATAATCAAAATATCATTTATTTAACGTTTCTTATTTAAGAAAAAAACCAATTTGAAGATTGGATTTAATGGGTGTGTGTAACAAAATTATCAGGCAAACTACGAAGCTTGGGTTTTAGAAACTACTTGAAAACTAGAGCTGGTAAACTTAAAACTGATAATCTAATTAATTAAATGAAAAGTGCTTGAAAAAATGAATTATGTAATTAACTAATATAAAATTATCATCTCAAAAAGAAAAGTAAACCAATATAAATTGATATAACAAACATAAAAAATTACTTAATCAGGAGATTTAACTTGGCTGAATAATACAATAAACTGTTTTAAGCTTCTTGATATCAAATTCATTGAAGATTAAAAAAAAATTAAATTACTTAGTCATAACCTAAAATTTAATAATTATATTTACTGTCAAATAATTATCATTAGTTAATATATTTCAAATAATTTTTTAAAAATTTTATTCTCATTTTTAAACATCTTTATTAAACAAAATGAAATAATATACATTAATGTATATTACGATGATTTATATTATAAAAATATCTTAATTACTTACCACACTCAATAGTCAACACCATCTACCTAGCAACATTTTTTTTTCCGACTAACATGCATAAAATTACTGTACCAAATAGCCAGATAGGAAAACTCGTAGATTATACCACGATATCTGAGAGATATAAATACAAATACAACTGAGTGATTCTGATCTTAGTTTAGCACCAACGTGCCCAAAGTACGCGACTATTTGAAATCAAATACTATTTTAAAAATAGTTAGTTAATAAATGATAAAAATATAATTATTTAAATAATATATTTTTACATAAAAATTTAACTATGTAAAATTCATTTTTAAAAATATCAATTTCTCTTTATTTCTCATCTAATTCTACTCTATCAAACAACTACAAATTTTACGTTATTTCTTACTTATTTTTTATCAAAAAAAAATTATTTCCTATTTTCTTCCATTTCCCACTTTGAAACAAAGCATAATAGTATTAGTATGTCCCATCTAATAACCATGTGCACACATGAATGTTTTCAGCTCAAGTTGTTCGTGGCTAAGCAATATTAACATAAGAATCTGAATAGTGATCATGGTTGAACAACTTGCTAATAACTTTTTTCAATTCACTTGGAAAGCCTATTTATCCATCAATAACAGGAAACATTTATATCTGACAAACAGTTAGGAAATTGAAATTGCAAATTCCTAGATGGCTGCAATACAAAGTGTTCAAAGTTGAAAAAGTACAAAGAATGAATTAAATCAATTGAATAGGAAGACAAAAATAACAACATGAACTGAGTACAAAAATGAGGGAGGGTCAAGGCCAAAATTTCAACGAGGTGTTTGTCTTGTTGCGACTTGTGAACGGAGATTAGAGGAATGTTAAAAGCATAGGAAGAAGGGAGGGAAAAAAAAAAAGGCAAAACGTGGTATGTACATACCCAGCAATTTACCTACGATAATCTTCACGGAGGTAATTTTCGAATGGTGTCCCTGTTAGTGCCTTGCTTACATCATTCCAATTTTCAACTTGGCTAGATAAGGATCCTTTATGTATCTTCACCTGACGACTCTTTAAATCCATTATAGGAACCTTCAAAAAATCTTGTACCTCCATTAATTTCTGAAACACAATTCAAATGTCAAGAGCCCTTTACAACAATATATCATACAACAACATGTTGTGTGACTTACGGTGCGGTTCTTTACAACATCTTCATAGTACAGGATAATGTGCCTAGTGCTCTTGAAATATTCCAAAGCTTTGGTGGTAGTTTCATTCACTTGTCTAAGTTGTTGAATCATCAATGTTGTATTGATTGTGGGCTTGTATTTTGCAAGTATTTCTGCCTGAAAGCATAGTTAGAATCCAGTAACTTGAATTATAAAGTGTCATTAGTAGGATAATACATCAACCAACTTGACATCTTGTATCACAATGAAGCACTCATGCAAATGTCCAACTATGAACATTCAACTCAAATAGGTAAAATGCATAAAGAATAAAAATAGAGACCTCCTTGGGTGAATGAACATGGGATTTGTGAGTTCCATTTAATATCTTAGTATTCCTATCATATTCATTTGCAAGTACAGAAATCATCCGGCGCAAAAGATTCCTTCTAAAAAGAAATACGACCGAAACACCATGTACTTTGAAGTACTCAACAATTTCCTCATGATGTTGCATCAATCCCTGTGTTAAATTACAAACATTATGATATCATCAGATCCTTGTAAGATTAAAACAATAATGTATAGAACAAAAGTCAAAACCAACACATTAGATGGAGTGTGTATGTGTACACCAACACATTAGATATTGAGAGTGTACAAAATAAATAAATGCAATATGCATTATATTGCTGTGAATGCTTTTGATAGGCTTGTTTCTAGGTTGTTTTTTTTTTGTCTTCATGGCATTAGTCCCATTTATATACCAAAAAGTTCTCAACAATTGCAAGAAAGGAAAGACAAATATCGGGAACCACAACAATTAGCCTCGCACATTAAAATTTAATTAAGCATTATCAAGTAACTTTTCAAAGAATGGGCAACATATGTACAATAGGTAAGTGAAAATGTAAAGAAATTGTATCAGTAGGGATTGATGTAACATAAGAACTTTGTTTTCACCGAACTGTATTAAGGAACTTTGGTGATACCTGTGTTCAAAGATATGAGCTTATTTGAAATCAACTTGCAGTAAGGAACTTCTACATTTTTAGAGGTACTTAATGAGTAATGAAGGACAATTTCCTATGCAAGAGACATGCTTGAACTTCATTCTTAACCAAGTTCCATTATTATACTTTCTTTTAACGCTACTGCTGTAGGATGGCTTATTTGCTCATCAGCTTTCTACCAAATCTCAAAGAAACTCCAAGAACCATCCATCTTATGCAAACGCATTCCACTACTGAAAATAACACACAAATGTCCATTCAACCTTCATCGACATATGTTCCATCCACATTTATAAACACATCATCTGGGAAGCAATACAAAAAAATTGCAAATACAAAAATTAAAAAACTACTCATCATCGTATGCATTGCATCCATTTTATGCAAAAGCATTCCACTACAGAGAAGAATACCAATCTAATTTTCATTGAACCTTCGTTAACAGATTTCGCATCCACATTTGTAAACACGTAAATTATTTGGGAAGCAGTAAAAAAAACATGGCAAATATACAATTAAAAAATGGTACTGAAAAATTCAACCAGTCAACTTGAGTTGATCCTTTTTAAAAGCAACAACTTGACAAGAACAATTAGAAAAATGATAAGTTGTTAACAACATGAAAAATAACAAGTGTAATTCCATGAATGTATCTTCTACATCATAACTCATGTCAGTGTTTGTGTTTGTGAGGGTGTGATAGAGAGAATTGATCCTTCTTCTCCACTTATGTCATAGTTTTGTACTCTTATGGCTTAGAATAAATAGCAAACACATACCTTCATCTCTCAGAAATCATAAGCAACAATTTAGACCTCAAGAAAACGTAATAATGTATTACCTCCCCCTTAATCTCATGAGTCGACATATACATTGGTGATTGGCCAACTATTAGTTTGAAGATATTGTTGGGTTTTACTGTTCTAGCAGGCATGCAAAAAATGATTTGAATTTGAAAACATCATAATATTCTTCATAAAGCCCACTAAATTTTTGGTATTTCGGAATAATAATGTCAGGTATTTAATTTTATGGCTAAATATGTTTATAGTCCTCTAAACTAAACAAATTCTAGTTTTGGTTCATGTAAAAAAAATCTTTGGTTTCCATCCCTCCAAAATTTGAAGTTGGTGTTTTAATGCCTAGCATTCATTTTATGATAGATAAATGACATTTATTTTGGGAATTAAAAAAATTTGGGAGTTACCCGTTAGCATGACACCATATATGTATTACTTCCTCCTTCACTCTTTCAACTAATTCATACCCTTTAAAAAAAGTAGTTAATTTAATTAATCACATTAAATTTGTCAATAATGTATATTGTTCTTCCAAAAATACCTTTTTTTAATTTAATCATCTCTCTCCACTTAATTGCTTCTCATGTAAGTAATTAATGTTTAAAGAGAATAATTAATTAAGGATACTTCAGAAAAACTAATTAATGCATCTAGAAATTAGAAAATGACTGTATAAAAAGGGACAAACAAATTTCTGAAACAAGTATGATAAATAGGGACAAAGAGAGCATTAGTCTGATCTCATGACCTTTCTTTAGATAAATAAACAATTAATTGATGTCATATGACAATAGTTAGTAGGGACCAAAAATATTGATTCTAGATTTTAGAGATGAAAACAGAGAAAAAATTTTATATGAACCAAAACTAAAATTTGCTCATTTTAGAGACAAAAAGATACCAACCCTTGAACTTATTAACAAAATATCTAAAAAATTGATTTTCCTTTTTGAAGGCTTCATCAAAAACATAACACAAGGAAATGAAACATTAATTATTCATCCTATGCATTGAATTTCATGCCCAGATGATAACTAACAAATTTAGTAATCAAATCCAAATTAGACTTCATCTTGAAAAACTATATATACCAAATATTCAACAAAAGTAAGAGGAAGCTTCCTATATCTCTTAAGCTTTTTTAACAACATTTAGAGATAGCATTACTCTAAATTAAAGTTCCATATTTCATTAGACTTATTCCAAGTAAATTGTTTAAATAAGATTGAATGTTATTCTATCTGTGCATGATCATTACATTTACACAACACACCTACTTATTGCACACTAGTTTAGCTAGACCACCCCTAACAAGACAACGATCAATCTTAAGAGGAACAAGGGAAGTCATCAACCCAGGTAGCAATCACGACCTTCATGAAAATTTGCTAATACATGCAAATAATATAATGGAGTTAATATACGAAAAAATTGGTCCTTAAAAATGACAACTTGTGTTGCTTTGATCCTTGAATATTTTCATATAAACAAATTAGACGTTTGAGGGGTGAAAATTGTTTACAATTTGATAGCTTGATAAGGTAAAATTGCAAGTAAGTTGACACTTTTGGAGATATTTGTATAGACGAGCATACTCTGGGACTCAAGCAACACAAGTTGTCACCTTCACAGACCAAATTATGTATTAACTCTAACTTAATGTGGTGTATATCTGCCCTTTGGTTTCAGAAATAGTTGTTGTTAGCAGACAAAAGGGATAAAAAATGACTATCATGCAAGACAAATATTTATTATAATAAAAGGGCATCCATAAATAAAACAACATTTACCTGATTAAGCATCCACTTTAAGCCAACAGCAGTAGTGCATTCATTCTTTGAAGCACTACTTAACCAATCTAGATTATAAATTGTATCTAGAGTCTCTGTAATTGTTGACATATTACTCCTTCTCACCTTCACCGAAAAGATTTCCCCATTTGAGCTTATGTTAGTATGACTGTTTAAAAACGTCTCGAACCATCCACTCCCAGATCTCTGCATTGACAGAATAGTAAAATAGCGGACAGGGTGGCAAGCACATTCCGCCCTAACAAAGACATACAAAGAAAGCAATATTAGTAAAATTCAGACAAAATCTACAACAAAACCTTGGATTTAAGCATTATATTAATAATTTCACCTGCTGTAAGTTTTGGGATTAGGGTAGTGCACATAAGGAATATCCCAAGGTTCAATTTTAGGTTCTGGGCATGGCTTTTGAATAACGTTGATATCTAGAAAACCAATCTTGCTGCTAGTGCCTATCTGCTTCAGACAAATAGAACATATATACACGCCACAGACCATTGCAAAGGTCAACACAACCAACCTCCACACAAACGTAGAACTCTTCAAACCCTTCACAAGCAAAACATCATGTAACCATGAGCTATAAGATTTTAAATCGATTTAATCATATCAAAGCACATAAAACAAAGAGCCCAATATGACTGATCCAAAGCAATAGATTAAAACCCCACAGAATCTACATTTTGAGGAAACTACCAATCAAATTCCTAAGACCCATCAACCTCAAAACCACACATATTCGTTGGGGTTATTTTAAGGAACCAAATCGGACAATTTCACGTGCCACCCATGAAAAAACAAAATAAAAAAATACAATATTTTACCCCAAGTGTTGGGAGATTTGAAGGTAACAAGACAAGTTGACACATTGAAAGGTAAAAAAAATACACTTACTTTGGTGAAGGAAGAGAGATCATCGGCCATTGTTGACAAGCTCAAAAGGAATGCGGATGAAAAGGCATTTTCTGGGTACCCTTTTGAATATATTTCTTCGTTCTTTTATTATAAAGCTCTTATTTCAACTCATGTTGCTACAGCCAGCAATGAAGGAAAAAGCAAAAGGGGGTTCGCTGATGAGGGTGTGTGACACTGAACTTTTTTGCTTTCTTTTTTATTTTTATTTTTCCTTTTTAATTTTTTTTTTTACTTTTTAGTCTGTGGGGAATAAAATAATTTGAGACTTCTAATCATGGACCGTTGCTATATTTTTGGTAATCTGCACTTGGCTATGACATACTCGTTCATGGTTTGGGAGAAATTTTGAGTATCTTTCGGAGTAAGGAGATAGAGTACGACCAAAGAAAAACGACATTGTGGGTGCACTACTTTGTCTCTTAAAATGACATGATTGTGACTTTGTAATCCATAGATCCACCACATGTCTGTACTAAAAGAAAATTATGGAGAAATTAAAACCATAAAGTTGACAATTTTGTAGATTTCGCCCACGTGTCAAATACAATCTTGCTTAAACAATTCAATTACATGAGTATGGGTTATTGATAAGCATGCTTGAAATTTATAAGTATTGACATTTTTTTCTTGACTTTGGAAAAATTAATAAATTTAATTACAACACGTGTTTTTTCGTTTTTCATTTAATGAAGCTATCATAACCAGTTACTTCTTAAGATATTGATTTTTTCATAGAGAATAAAAGTTGAAGATAAAAGGAAATTTTTCTTATTTTAGCATTGTTAATTTATATGCTAAATAATTATTGATCAGATTTTTAAATGAAACTCAACTTGTATAATTATCACTAAAAAGATAGAATAAGATAGGTATAATATTACTCGACAAATGATGACTTTAACCAAAATGACTAATCGACCTTTTGATTATTGAGACAAAGGTCAGGTTTCTTTATTTCAATCAAACCAACCAACCATATGCTTTAATTAGCTACCTTTTTCATGCCCATTAATAACTTTACCAATTTTTAATGATGACAATTGATAATTTTTTTCATTTTTTTTATTAATATTCGTCCACGT